AAAAATACATTTATTTTAGAAATTTTTATATTACAAGTAAAAAGAGAAAAACTATGAACTAGTTTCATTATATCAAAAATGTTTACTTTGAATCTTTGACTACTTTATCCTTTCGAGTTTCTAACTCATAAAACTTTAATCTGTATAGTTGTAGTAACATTGAACCACAAGATGCATTTTTAAGTTTTCGGGCAGCATTTTCATTCGATTTTCGCGAAGCAAATCCTTGAATGTACTAAATGTATGCTCGACGTAAGTTGATACAAGTGGAGCCCAATTTAAATATGGAACGTTTGAAACGTTCATATTATCATCAATAAGGGCGTTTTCCTCGCCCTTTACAATTTTATCCACACCTCTTATTGTCTCCAAGCCTTCGTTTGCTGAGAAAACGGCTTTGAACTTTTCCAACACCAATTTGGCAAGAGGTCCCTGCGCTTCTATAAGCCGCATGAGCATGTGTACATTTTTTAATCTTAAAAAAAAAAGAAAAAGTAAATGCTATAATCACTTTTTTAAAGGTAGAAAAGGCAAAAAAGGCAAATATCTTAAAAAGGGCAACACCAAATGTGTATATATGGAATCAGGGAAAGCTAAATCGTGGATATTCTTAATCGAATATACTCTATCTCTTTAGCAGAAAAAAAGGCAATTTCCATAAAATCCGTTCCCTGTTAATAAACATTAAATAAACAAAAGAAAAATAGCCAAAACTGGTCAAAATGTCGTATCCTTATTGTTAATAGTTACAAAACCACTATGTATCTTGATTGGACGATATTGTTTGTTGAAGCAAATCATTGTTGAGCGAAAATAAACAATGCTTTGGTCGATAAAAGTTTTCAACTACTTTTGTGAACTTGTATACTTGAATCAGCTAATCGTTTATTATTGTAAAAAAAGTTTTAGTTTGGCACAAATAACTCAATTTACTCAATGGTTGTTGTGTTTATAATAGTGTTTACTTTCTTATTTTATTTGCCTATATTAAGCATAAAAAATACATACATATTTACATAAATAGTTACAACACTGATGGAAATAATAGTAAAATGAAATAAAAGCGTAGTTGAATGAAATGAAAAACGTGCTCAAAAGTAGTGTATAATGAAAATATTAAATTCAAATACGCCCATAATAAAATGAAGAATTTTGCACTTAACGGATGCTTTTTCATAATTAAGATAAAAATAAAACAAATTAATTTGCATGTTGCCTGCAATGGAATTTGAACCTTGACCAGCGTTGCCGTTTTGATACAATTGTATCATTTCTTGTAAAATTTTGTAATTTGATACTTCTTTA